TCATCTTTCCTCTTCAGTCTTCTGCCTCTGCAGTTCTCAGTTCTAGATTGCTTCACCAGCTATTTTAGAGATCTGCATGTTTGTTGGTACCTGGTGCTTAAGAATTTGAGGGATTTTTTGTCTCCTCAGGATTCATTCCTTTCTACAGGTCTGTTCTTTCCACCTTTTAGTTGTATGCTTTACCTTCTCACTGCCCTTGTGAAAACATCAACGTGACCACTGAAAACAGGGCCTGCATTCTTCCGCATAGCTCATACAACCGGTATAAGGACTCCCACATCGTTAGTGGTCTACGCGGATGCTAACATGATGAGCAGTGGTACAGCCCTCGTGCCTGACTGCAGTCAGACATTAATGAAATAAACTGTTGGTTTAGGTCAGTGTGTTTGCCTAGTCCTAAATGAAAGCTTAGACTTAGACAAACAAGGCCCTTTTCTGAAATATATTGCAATTTATTTTTAATGACATAAAAGCTTTAGATTATCTCAAGACAGCTTTAAAATACTGAAACACAGGTCATGCAGAGTATGGTCATTCTACACACAGCTTTCAAATCCTTAGCCTGGACTCAAGCAGGCAGGTGTTGGGAAAGGAGCTGTAAAGCAGAAACAAATTTGTTGACGTTTAATCAATTTTTTTTCCCCAGAACACTCGCATTTATGACCAAAAGCTATTGTCAAAGATTGACACGTGATAAGCTTTGATGTTGCAGTCTATTTCAACCCAGGTGGCGTATTGAGAAGTTGCCTTGACTGAGCAATATTTAACAAAAACTCAGGGAGTAATTAGTATTGTGAACTTTGTGTTTGCAGGGGGTTGGATAACATGATTAAAAAAAGAAAATGGATATGTTGCCTAACACTGGTATAGAAAAGACAGAGAAACCTGCAAGATTCTCTGATGAGCAAGACAAGTTTGTAAGTAAGTGGGTCTGAACATCCAGTTTCGGCTGATATCCAAAGTAAGGTAGCTACTAGGACTCAGCTCTCGAAAGGAGTAATACGCCTTCATTGCCTCTCATTAACGAATACATTAATTGAGCTTGGCTCTCTGAAGCTTGCAGTACCTGCAAAGTTGAACCCTGAGTGTATTTAATATGGAGCCATAGGTTCACACAAATGGCATTACTGACTCCTTTACATGAATAATGCACCAATGCTTTGACATAGTATCGGCATCTGTGTTTCTAGTAGTACTGACTCTGATTTAAATAAATGAAGGCTGTATGCCCTTTTCCTCTCCTGTAGATCTTTAGTGATCCTGCACAACTTAAAAATTAATGTTTTTAATGCTATGTCCAGACTCAACAATAATTTGTCTGTATGCATCCCTCTTGCTAAATCTCCCCTGCGGTTTTGATTGCATAAAGCATCATTTATTTCCTGAACTAAACTTGCTCTGCTATTTGGTGCCATTCTCATACTACCCTGAGGAGAAATGTAATTTGGTTCTATATTCAGTGATCCTACCTACAGCATCCATTTCAATGGTGGTGAAAATCATCTTCCCATCTGTGAAACATGCTGTTTAAATCCATTGTCATAAAAGTCAGCACTGGAAAAGTCCTTAAATCACAGGATATAGAACCATAAATGAATATAATTATTTATTCTAAAATAATACCTTACCTTAGACAAAATGGCAGAAGTGCTCATCGTTGATATTCGTAATGAACCAACATTTTCAATATTAGACTCCTACTGGGCTTGATGGAGTTATTGTTACAATATCTCTCTAAGTCAGGGCTGGGTTCATCCTGTCATAATCACTGGGTGTCAGTCCTGGACACGCACAGCAGAGCTAGGGGTTCACCTTTTGGCAACAAGATTATAACACTTTGTTCAGTTTTCTCATTCTTTGTGCAAAAAGACTTCTCTGTTTCAGTCAGTCAAACCTACCGTTTTTGTCTCTTTGCTCACAAAAATAAGCAGGTAAATAAAAAGAAGCAAGCATATTATGAGACAGTATACTACCCTTGCCTCAGCTTTGGTGTTTTCCTGTGTGCTGTTTGCTCACTTGGGCTTTGCAAAGAAACCGCCTTTTTCAGAACAGTCCTACTCCAAAAACACCAATCTGTTTCACCAAGGACTATGCATGCTATTAATGGCAGTTTGGCCATACTGAGGCACATCTCACTCCTGGCGGTGGTAGAGTTTGTTCCCAGGCAGAATGATATGTCTCAAGTCTTGCGCTCAGCAGTGCTCAAATGTGCAATGAAGCCACCACGTAAGATTCCCATCTGGGTCACTGAGGCAGGGTGGCCTTTGCAGAGAAGACTCTGTCTGCCACCACCAAGCTCTTAAGCTGTGAGGTGCCTCTCTTCTCTGCTGGCCAAGTGTTCAACTTTTGTAAATATGGGCCACTTGTGTTTCTTTTCAAATTGGGCTTCAGAATTGAGTCCTACTTGAAAATGCTCTGTACCCGTTCTCCTGGAGCTTCTCCAATATAGCACTTTTTTTTCACAGAGGTGAATAACGAACTTCTCTCAGGCACTGTTACAGATCATGGGGATATTGCCACAGAGAAAGAAATTCACCTTATCCTTCATATCCGCCTCAGCAAGTCCGAGTGCTTGAGCAAGTCCATAAGATGACTCTCAGAGAAACAAAATGCAACATACAAAGGGGAGCTATAATGTGCCCCCCATAGCATGCATCTGTTTCTATTTATTTCAGTTGTTATCTACATCCAAACTAATATATAAAGCTTCTCAGAACCAAAACAAGCTACTCAATTCATGAAGATATTTAGACACTGATTTAACATATCTAAATCTCGTTTTCAAAATTGACATAGGCAGGTAGGTGTCTATATCCTTTTGTCCTCTAATGAGCCTTAGACTCCGAAAAGATGCCATAAAGTGCATGTATCCCAAGGACACATGGCTGAAATGTTTCTTATCTTTCCATGACCATCAACCACGTGCAAAAAGAAAGTCTCAGAATTGTTGAATATATTGTCAGCAAAAACAGGCTTAGCTTTTATTTTTCCTGTTGGCAGACCTTTGGAAAGTATACATGCTAAACGAGATTACTCTGCACTCTGCCCAGCTTTGTGGGGCAGACGCTGTGCAACAAATTCAGAAAGGCACAGACTATAAAGTACAGCCCAGGAACAATGAAGGTGGAAGCAACGATAAAAATTAAGACAAAATGACGACCCACCAAGCAAGACAGAAAAGTGTTAGTAGGCTGAGCTAACCTATTAGATGCTGAAATTTGCCATTTCTGTACACAGTGCAGTGGTTCTCCTTTCTCTTTTTAATTTGAGGCTGAATTTACTGTGACAGAATAAACTCAGATCAGCCAAAATAATATTCGCAAAGCAGCTTTCCTCATCATAGTCAGGCTCTGTAGAGTAGTGAACCTGCCAGTTCCAGCCTTGGCTACCTTTCTCCCCCAGCCGCTGGTTAATGAGGCTGGGCGTGTATGCTTTGCAGAGCACGCAGACAGCTGCTTCTCAGTGGAGAAGCACCATCAAAATAAATATTTGAGCATGGCGGCTACTCCTGCATTTCAGGAGACATGCAAACTTCCACAGAGGCTCATATGATTCTCAAAAGGTTTCCATTGTTAATTATAAGAGGAAATAGTAGAGCAGCTTCCCAAACTCCTGTACTATTTACACATGTAGTTTGTGTGCCAGCTAAAAAACATTCCCGCTGGAAATGAAAATAAGATCCCCGCCAAGGTCTTACCCAAACCTTCCTTGAGGGGAGGGCATGGGAGAGACACAGAAAAAGAGTTGTGTTTTTTTCCCAAACCATCAGCTGAGGATTTTTTTTTGTTCCAAATATGTCCCACCATTTTTTGTCCAAATATGTTTAAAAAAATGTCCCACCTAAATATTGATAAGTTCCTACTGCTATCTCCAGATTTATTTTGGCACAAGGTCATTTGAAAGACAAGCTCAGCTCTTTGGCCTATAGAGAATGTATATAGTGTTCTCCATGGATCCAAGGAAGTCCATTAGCCTATAGGGCACTGGCTGGATCAGGTGCTCATTTCTCATGGCAAATGTCCCAAGGCTTGGGGCATGAGAGCAACCTGGCAAGGGAAAGGGAGGCTGCACCAACCTCCTCTCCTTCCAGCTGGTACAGCCACCTCAACTCCTCTCTTCTCCTCTCCTCTCCTCTGCTCTCCTCTCTCCTCTCCTCTCCTCTCCTCTCCTCTCCTCTCCTCTCCTCTCCTCTCCTCTCCTCTCTGATGTGAGGAAACTGCTCCAAGCTTCAGGGCTGGTAGGATTTTCTCCTTCATTGGATGTCTTGATTAAAAATAGCAGCAACTGGGGAACTGGTGTTAGAAAGCCCAAAGAGCAAATGCTTGGGTGGGTGCATGAGAGCTGGGCAAGGTCCAGGGCTCACAAAAGTCATGACAGCCTTCTTCAGGCTTTTGTAAGAGATGATGTCAGAGAAGGCATAGAAGAGTTCCTGCCCCAGTCCTTAGGTGTGTCTCTCAAACTTAAAAAGTGGAGAAGTATGCATGAGAGAAATTCCATACTTCCTTATTGTAAAAGTATCGAGAATAGTGTGAAATTTCTTAATTTTTCTAAAGGATCTCACCTCAGCATGTGTATGAGAAAGCGCACAAATCCATGGGAAACTCAGTTTAAGCAGCCCCTTTCAGTTTCTTTTCAGTTTCCTCTGTATCAAAAGCATCAAAATCTACAAAATTTCCAAGCAAAACCCCACATCAGTTAAACTCTCCAGAGATTCTGCAAGCTTGTCTGGCTTGCGAGAAAATTTTGCAGCGTTCTTGTGGTAGGCTAACCACCCCAGCATTTCAGTTTCATAGTTACCCTTTCTTTTTAGTGCCTACAGCAGAATTCCTTGTAAATCATCAAGGGAAATGAAAATAACCACCTCTGTTGCACAGCTGTGTCCATTTACTTCATCCCAAAGCTTCATTCCGAATAATGTGTCCATCACCACTGCGCTGAAGTAATGAGGAGAGATGGCAGGCAGGGGTCAGCTCATTTGTCCTATGGAAGGGAAAAAAAACCTGAGAAGCCGGTTAAGGCAGAAGTCTTCTAACTGAATGATTGTGCCCGGCTCAGTGAACTCTGGAAAGACCCACAGAAGATCTCAAACAAACATGTGGATAATGTGTCTCAGATCCAAGACTCACTCATATTTTGCAGAAACAATTATTTCACTTGCATTTTCTATAAATGAGTCACAATCTCCTGGTAGCTACAAAAGTCTCCCTATTTTTTTCTGCAGAGTTTGGGTCTCAGAGATGCTGCCTCACTTTTTTTGTTTTTTATTTTTGTCTTTCTTTGTTGCCTCACTATGTGGTAGTTCTGGCTCCATGTGCTGTGGAAGCCATGCGTTGACTGTTGATGGGATGATGCAGTGGCAGAAAGTAAAAACAGAAGAATTCAAAAGGGAAAGGGGAAAGAAAGAGAAATGTGGAAGCTCCTGCAGTCAGAGTCTTCACAGGGCCAGCAGTGGGCCTGGCATGCTGCAGGTGCTCACCTCCCAGCCCTGTCCCTCCATTCACCAGAGCTTGAGGCTGAAAGCTGGCAGCTTCTTCAGTAATTTCAGAGTCTGGCAGTCGTTCATTACTTAGGATCTGCATGACCCATTGCACCTTCCCTGGGGGCAGCTCCAAATTCCTCCTCGCTTCCTCCTTTCTTTCTCCACCATTTGCTCTTGCTGGGGGCCAGCGCTAGGCAAAGGCAGAGAGGGGAACAGCCAACTGATGGGTCTGGACTGCTGTGAGGCCACAGGCACCCCCTGTCACGCCTGGGCTGAGGAGCTGAGGCTCTGCACCTAGCACCTCCACAGCTGGCCAGCACTTGAGAGGAAAGATGGCCGAGTTAAAGATGCAACTCCTGTCCCCTTGGTTATGTGAGAAAGCACATAATAACCTTGCACAGATACCCACGAGGCCTCTGGATAATGCAGTTCTGATCTGACACTGCTAAGCTAACAAGAAATTAGGAAAATCTTTAAAAAAACTTTTCCCATGAAATTAAAAGCAAGAAGGGATGTGAGGGTTTTCTTATATATCACCAAAAGAGTCATGAATTCTTATTTTTTCAATCTCTTACAGACCACCTTAAATTTGTTATAAAAGTGCTCTATCTTATATTAGGTACGGTCCTGCCATCTGTTGGAATTTTTTTTTAATTAAACCATTGTTTAATATAAGAAGAAAAAAATGACAGCAGCTGCTTGGTTTCTGATTTCAGCCAAATATTTGTTTGCTTTTCTAAAGGAGTTCAGAAACCAGCAGTGACTGACGTTTCCGCAGGAGTCCAGTTAATACAGGGTCCCATCCAGATACCCTGAGCTCAAGGTTGTGCTCCTGTTTCTGAGCCCTTCTCTCCACAGGTGTAAACTAGATTCAGTCATGGCATCATCCTTGTTCTATGGGTATCTTCTCACATAAAGGAAAGGGTTATTCTTTTTAAGGGAAAAGGGTTGCGTTCTTTTTCACTTAAGACTAACAGATCATTTTTCATGTATGTTTGTCTGGGTTACAGAGGGATTCTCATGGGTGGCAAAGAACAAGATGCTAAAAGACCTTTTAACTTAACAAAGATAAAGCTAAGAAGACTCAGTGGTTAGCATCTCAAGTCAGATAAATTCTAATTAGGTACAAATACTTGATGGGGGATGAATTATAACACAATATAGTAAGGGAAGTGATGGATCTCTGCCTTTTTTGGGTGAGATTCACCTTGATGTCCTTCCATGTCTACAGGATACGTGAGAGCTAGCAACTGTTGCCACGTCTGGAGAGCAATAAGCACTTTTAAGGTGAGGTTCATTTGGTCAGATGGACTCTTCATCCTCAGGAGGAGATGAATCACGTCCCAGTACTATTTTCTCCCTAGTGACCATAAAGGGAGCTCAGGATGACATCTGGTTGGAGAGGCGCAGCTTTCAGGTCTAGGCATCTTTCTGGTAGGACTGCTTTTCCAGAACACAAATAGTGGCACCCAAAGCTTGGGTGACTGGGTGCAGTGTAAAGCTGAACACTTAGATGTGCTTAGAGAATTTAATAATCCCTTCTGGCCTTGCTCTCTGTGATTCTGGGACTCTGGGGTTGGCATCACACAAGTGCTATAGAGAGAGTACAGCCTGCCACAAGGACAGCACATGTGGTCATGGCCAGCCCATGGTCTGGGTGACCTTAAAAAGTGCTTTTGGTTCCTTGTCCTGTGTGAGGGGCAATTTGAGGAGTTGCCCATCAGAGTGCTCAGGGCTCTGTGTCGAATCACTGGAGAAATTAGCTGCAAACCTACCCAGCAAACCTTCGTGCCACGGCTGCACACAGAACAACACCTACCAACTCCTTCCTTAACATGCACAGGGCTCCAAAAGAAAAAAGGGACTTAACAGAGTGTTTCTGAACATGGAGCACATAGGGGAAGGAAACAGTTCTAGCCTCAGAAATGTGAGCCAAATATCACCACTCTGATTCAAACCTCTGACAATGATGAATGCATTCACATTACTCATCTAGCCCCAAGTGGTTGCTTTCATGAAAGCCAGGTCAGTTTAGTTAAACTAACAACTGGATCTTTTTTGTCATGAAAATATGAAAGGCAGGTTTTAGAAACTGCTTATTCAAGATGTTATTGCAGCTGCAGACAATGGAAGAAGACACTCCCTCAAATACTCTGTTGGAACTAGGATTTTTTGGAAAAGTTGATGTATTCGCAGTGGGGAGCTTTCACTCTTCCTGCATATTCTTGTGCGGTTTCATGCTATAACTCTTACTGTGATGTCAAAACGTAGGCAAACTTCCTCTGTGAAAGTCAGCAGGCAGCTGAAGGAAGCCACTGCAGATAATGCCATGTGTTTTCTATACTAATATCAGAAATGACAGGAAAAGCCCATATCTAGTGTGCACTTGAGAGATTTTCCAGCCCCAAAAATTCTTTGCCTACAACAACAGACATGAAGAACTCTTTCAAAACGTCTCAGAGAACCTTGTTCCTGCTCCAACTGCAGCTGCAGTCTGACAAAAATAAGGGAGAATCCATGCAAAAATCCTTTCCTGAGTCATGTGTGTGATTCAAGGCAAGGTCCTAGTGTACTGGGAGAGGTCCTGGGGCCAACCTGCATGAATGAGCGATGTCTGATGCCGAGCCTGAGTTGTAACAGTAGCAAGAAGCTGAAGTTGAGAGACTGCAGAGCGTGCGCTCCAGCCCTTTGCCACGGGCAAACGCACTGTCTTAGAAAAATTAGCACGCAAATCCCAGAGGATGTATCTACACAGGTACAGAGGGGTAAAGATCAGATGTCAATGAAAAATCTCAACAGTCCCACTTAGCATTTGCATTATTCATACACAAGTGTGCATGGCATGGCCTTAGCCCAGCCAGGGAGGCAGCTGGAGCAGGGGGACACAAAGACATGCCAGTACAGGCGGTGTAGTCACACTATCTAACTTAAACAGGTAGTGAGCGTATGGATTGTAACACCTGAGCTCCATGCACAACTCACAAGGTCTCGAGGTGTTTGTTCAAAGCATTTGACCAGTCGGGATCTTTTCCCAGTGACGGACAGACCTCCTGCTGTTCACCCTCTTGCAAATAGCCCCAGCCCCAGTTCAGGAGATAGCACGGCTCAGGAACCCCTCCTAGTAGGTAGGATAGAGACACTGATCCAGTTTTGGGGCATAAGTGAATTGAGCAGTACAGATATGAGTTATGCTGTGCGAGCCTGCCCCAGGGCCAGGGAACGGTCTCTGATCTGTTTTATTACTAGTACAGAAGTAGCCTCTGGGTATAAAACATGCCTGATGGTGTTTCCCTGCACCACTTCCTAATAGGATGTAAAGTAGAATCTATCTCTTACTATGCATTAAATCAGGAAAAACTACTGACATTAAAAATCACTATATTCAGCCAGTTTTGTGGTAATCTGGCAGTCACCAACTTCTGTCCTGAGGTGCACACTGAACATGTGTCTACATGACTGTCAGTCCTATGTAGGTCTCATGAAAGTACCAAATATACCTTTAAAATATCTAGCTGGGCTCCTGCAGACGGAGTTGCCATGGCAGCACAGAGCTAAGCAAGGCAGGAGATCTCCACTTGCCTTTTCAAAGGTGATAAATGATTTGGAGCATCTAATGGATACTTCTTTAAAGCAATCTGTATTTTAAAAAGCCTAGTTTACCCCAGTCTCTCAGAGCATCAACCTGAGACCTAAAATCACTAGCCACAACAGAAAAGGAGTAAGTGCATGGCGTAAGAGGCCCATTGGGATCAGAGACCCATTTATGCCTGGTGTGAAATCAGGGCAAGCCCCCAGGACACTGCTGAGTTGTCACTGATGGCTGGAGCAGTTCTCAGCAGCAGCGGTGCTGCAGTTCTCTTAGCCTTCTGCAGATGGCTGTGATGCTATCAAAGTGTCTGGTTGTATTTTCTTTCGTTACTTTCCTTCTGATAGGCAAAATTACTGCGCTTGGATAATAAACAGTGTTTGTTGCACTTCTCCTGAATATCAATACAGCTCTATAACGTTTAGAAAAATACACACTTCTCCTGAATATCAATACAGCTCTATAACATTTAGAAAAATACACAAAATGCAGGAAGATAAACAACATGGAATACCAATTGTTAGTATTTTCATCATGCCATAGGGGTGCCTAAGGTTTAGCTGAAATTAAAAAGAAAGCTGAAATTAAAAAGAGAGCTGAGAGCTTCTGCCTTCCAGGACCTCTGGCCCCAATTCTTCAAGGAGTTCAGGACGTGCTTTCATCTGCACAGACCAGTTGTGCAGAGGGGCTCTTTAATGTGTTTGTGCCTAAGTATTTGCAGGGCTGGAGCCTGACCTGACAAGCACAGAAAATTGGAGAAAACTACTAAAAATGGCAGAGGAATTGAATCTTGATTAGACAGATGAGAAGCTGAGGCATTCAGTGGCATCAAAAGCTATTTGTGACCTGTAACTTTTGTCCCTATGAAAGGAGAAGATAGGAATTGTTCTTAAACACTCAGATTAATTGAGTCTCATCAAGAACTGACATTTGAGAGAGGTGCAGATATCCCCAGCTCCATCATGTTGCTCATATCATACATGTCCAGCTGTGCAGCGACGAACACAAGGAAGGGGCAAGGGAATCCCTTCTGATTTATGCCCTGAAGCATGACCCAGTGTTCAAAATCTCTGAGAATCCTACATCCTGACATCAAACCTCACTCAGACCTTTAATTTGAGTCAGATAAATCCTGAGGTGAGCGCAGAAGCTTCTTGTTGACCTACAGCATTTCTGCCTGCAAAGTATCCAGACTATATCTGAGAACCTCTCTTCCCCTGAGTAAGTAATTCCAACGCATGTCCTCGGCCTGCCTTGTTCCTAACCTGAATTTCCAGCCGCTTGACTATGTTATTCCTTTTCAATATTGCCATACTAACTTCTCTCTGAATGTGTCCCGGGTATTTATGTATAGGCCACAAGGAGTTCTCTCATTCGTCTTCTCTTTCACAGACCACGAGATCTGTCACATCTCCTTTTATGATATTTGCCTTCTCATTTGCTTATTACTGGTGTTTCTTCATCTAGCCCTTTTATCTTCGTCTTATGTTTTAACTCACGCTTGCTCTTTGATG